TAGTCATAGAGATCTTAAGGTGTGCACAGACATGACGAGACGCTCCCGCGACGAGCTCTCATCACGCGGGACAAGCCAATGAATTATTTCAACTTTTGCGGTTTTTAATGTAAATGTAGCTATAATTCCTAAATTAAGGCATTTGGGTATAGGAAACATTTCATGAAAAATATTCAGTATTATTCAGGGATTACGAAAACTGAAAAATATACAGGGTGATCCATTTGAAATAACAAAGTTCCTAATAGTTGCCAAAAATCGAATGATCTGACAACCATGTAAATGGCACGATAATATCGGCCATATAACAATACCCTCACATACCAAAATTTATAAAAATCGAGCAAGCCGTTTTTGAGATAATTGGGCGTTTCCATACATAAAACTCACTCTGTATATAATTAACTGAATATTTGCCAGAAAAACCTAAATGAATGAATTGCCCAAACATTATGAATTGTATTAAATAGTTTTCTTCTTTCCTGGGATTTGATCGTGCATTAAAACAAAATATTTATTTGTAACGTTTCGGTATTTTTATTTACATCATCAGACGTACAGTTCTAAAATAAATTTTATTTTTTTTAAATCTTTTGAAATGTTCGACATTCAACTATGTTTAAAACTTTTTTTAAAATTTTAAAACAAAAATCAAAGTGAAAAACAATGCCAAAGTACAAAGACAATAGTCCAAGAAGCCATAATTTAATCTAACGGAAACTACTAAAACAAAACGAAGGAAATTTATTTGTGTTTAAATTTAATTGAAAGATGCAAGCACAATTAGTTTAGGATGCTTACCTGCTTTTTAATTTTCCATTTGATTAATTAATTTTTTTCTCATTTTATCTTGTTCAAATTCAACTTGAGAAAAAAATTAATTAACCAAATGGAAAATTAAAAAGCAGCCCAAACTAACTTTGCTTGCATCTTTCAATTGAATATAAACACGAATAAACTTCCCTCGTATTGTTTTAGTAGTTTCCGCTAAATTAAATTATATAGAGTTCTTGTACTAATGTCTTTGTACCTACTTTGTCATTGTTGTTCGCTTTGATTTTTGTTTTGAAATTTAAAAAAAGTTTTAGAGAAAGTTGAATGTAAAACATTTCAAAAGATTTAAAAAAAAATAAAAAAAAATAAATTTAGTGAAGAACTGTACGTCTGATGATGGTAATAAAAATACCGAAATGTTACAAATAAATATTTTGTTTTGCACGACCAAATCCCAAGACAGAAGAAAACTATTTTCGAAACTTGACCGTCAGGAAAACTACCACTAAATTGTATAAAATAACAAAAAAATTACCACAACATCGATAAAATGTTCAAAATACAACGAAAATTATGAAAGTCATTATTAACCCATTAAAAAAAATAATTGCTATCGAAACCAAGTTTATTTTCACTACTTTGGAATTTAGCCGGAGGCAATTCATTACAAAATTCTAATGAACAAATACCTCCTAAAACATTCAAATTTACTTTTAATTATAAATTGAACCGGCCGGTTAATTTAGAATCATTAAATTTATTCAGCAATAATTATTATCTACTCTGCAATTTCTAAATGATCAAAATTATTTTAGCCCAAGCTCGCAGTTTTGTTAGGTCAACTACCCCTTATTTTATACCCCTTCCCAAAATCCTCCATTAGTCATAATATGATTGGATTATATCGTGACGAAACAGTAACATATTTAACTATCTATTATCTTGATGGTCATCACGTGTTTAAGGAATCATATACGGAGGGTGAAGGTTTTGCACTACCTCTTGTTTTAATTACCTAGAACCATTAGTTCGAATTAAACGGCACAGTTGAAAGAAGCATTACTAGCAACATTTTGTCATTGAGAGCTGACTTTGCTACTGAAATTTTGATGGAGCAATTTAGCCCGAAGCAATATGGAACGAAAAATATGAACCTTGAAAAATGTAACGCTTGAAAGTTTCTCATGCCAGGAAATACTCTAGGGTGTTAAAACTTTTGACAGATTCCGAAATCCGCAAACAAAAACATTTGAGCAATCATTTTGGAAGAGACAAGGTTTAAGTCAAAAGTGTAATTTTCATAACAGCCACCCCACGAATGCTCGTAGATAAAAGAGAAATGCATCAATTTAAAAAGATTTTTATTTTGAACATTTCAGTTAGTTATTATATTCTTGTTATTTATGCGTTTTCTTCTCACTAGATGGCAGTGGAGCTAATGGCCTATTTCTGAAATATACCCCAAGAGCATAATTTACTCATAATTTGCACTAATTTTCTTCGTTTTACATTTTATGTTCAATGTTATGCATTAAATTATCATTAAAATAAAGTGAGAGCATAAATAAATAGGTACGCATAATTAAGTTAATGTGTCTGCCGTTTACCACGAGCGTCCATATTCCGAGTGCCGTAATATTGATTTGACATTTAAAGTAAACAAATATGACATTCGTCGTAAATTAGTGGCAGCCTTTTATTTTTCCAAAAATCGAAGAAAAAAAAATAATGAAAAGATTCATTGCAGTCCCTTGAAAACAAATATCGTATATTATTCTGCCCGGAAAATCTTTTTTTGCTACATTCAATAGAAGGCAAACTTTTAACTCAGTACAAAAAGAGTCATTTCTTGGCCTAATGCTAACGGATCTGCACAAAAAAAAAGTAAATCCAAAAGGGCTTTGATTACAGAAACGTACAGCGCGTCGGTTTCTATAAATAAATGTCACAGTGACACATTTTTGGCATTATTGTTTCTTTGTTTGTCAGAAGATGATTGCTTGAGACAATACCACTTCCGACAGAAGGAAAAAGCAAAATAGTGGATAGTTAGAAAATCATAGCTATCTTCTAGATTAGATTAGATTAGATTTGTTTGAATGCAGATGGCGCAGAAGGATCCTCTAGCACTGCAGCCTTGTCCGTTTTATTGTGGTGTCTCCTATCTGTCCTGAAAGTGCGTTCTCTAGACCCTTCTTTTTTATTGGACTCCAGAGCCATGATACTGGCCACTCCATATAGCTTGCCGGATTCGGCTTTCCCCTCCAAGCCTCGCAAACCTAAGCCTGCATAGCGCTTCGCAGTGGCACCACACATGTACGGCAGTTTCTTTCGCCTCTGCCAGAACCTGCTCAGGCTATCCTCTGCCAGGCTCATTCTTTCCAGGTCCTTGTTTAGTTTGCAATGCTTTAATAATTCGCCTACCGTTATCCTAACAATCTTGCGGCTGTGACTTAGTAGGTCCGCTGTGAATTTGGGCCAGCAGGACTTGATGAATTGCTATGTCTGTCGTTGTCCTGGTGTTTGCTGCCACTAGCTTTGGAACTCTTTGTCCATCCAGTTCTTGATAGATATTGCAAAAAGGCCGGCAGAGATTCCGCAGAATGGTTCTGGGCCTATCATCTCAGTGGCTGAGCCTCCTTTGGCTAAGTCGTAGGCCTTTAAATTTCCTGGGTGGCTGTCATGGCCTAGGTACCAACTAGGCTATGGTAAGTTTATTGGACTCACCTCCTCTAGGGCACGTATACAGTGCCCAACTAGCTTGGAGCTGATCTTCCGGGGGGGGGGGGGGGGCGTAACTACATTGTTTACCACGGTACAGCTAATTTAGCCGCTATACCGCGGTAAACAATCCAACCTAATAACGCTCTTCGAATGATATATTCTTTACTGCACTACAGTAAAGGTTGCCTCTGACCCAAAGTAAGCAATGCAAATGAAAGTATGGCGTAAGGAAATACTCGGATGTTACTGAGGTGCAGCAGTTGGTATATGGTATTAAATATTAACAGAACACTAAGCTTGTCGTTAGTTGGAATTTCTTCCTGACGTTTCGCTTACATGCGTGGATAGCATCTTCAGAGGTGCTTCCATGTCCGATTCTGGTAGCAGACTGACGCGTTTCCGACCGCAAGTTGTATTTATGTGTGAGTGGTTGTGGTGGGGGATGGGCGGGGCTTCGCAGCACGTGGCTAATCTGAACTTTCTCTGTACTCAATGGGATCTTTCTTGCCTTTTTGAACATCGGGTTCCAAATTTGGCTAAGTTTTAGTGATTCCTCTTTCCTGTTGAAGTTCTCCATATATTTGTGGATTCCTATAGCTTCACGTACAAGACGATTGTGGTATCCGGAAGTCGGTGCAAGAAGCTTGACCTCACCAAATACATAGATTTGCTACTGCCGATTTCTCCGATTGTCCTAGTCTGCAGTTTCTTTTCTGCTCGTTGATCCTGGTTCCCATGGATCTTTTTGTTGTCCCTATGTATACCTTACCACATGTGCATTGTATACGATAGACTCCTGCGCTTGACAGTGGGTTCCTTTTATCCTTGGCTGATCTGATTGATTACTGTAGTTTGTTGGCTTGAAGATCGTTTTTATGTTTTGTCTCTTTTCGACTTTCCCTATCCTGTCTGTCACCCGAGATATGAAAGGTAGATATGCATTAGCCACCACTGAGGGTCCGGTTTGGGTCGATTTCAGATGCATTGTATCCATTTGATAGAAAGGCCGAGTTGAGGAGATCCAGTTCTTGCTCGAGATGTTCTGTTAACGTTGTTATAATTCCACGTTTTTGCCTTGGATGGTGGTTTGAGAGTGCATGCAGGTACCTGTCTGTGTGTGTGGGTTTTCGGTACACTGTGTGTGACTTAGTTTTCCTCCAGATTTCTTTATGAGTACATCTAAGAAGGTGATTTCTTGGTTTTTCTCCTTTTCCATGGTAAATTGTATGCTAGGATGTTGTGCGTTCAGGTGGCCTAAGAACTGGTTAAGCTTCTCTTCCCCATGACTTCAAACCACAAAGATATCATCTATATATCGAAGCCATACCGTTGGTTTGTGGTCAAAAGATTCGATAGCTTTCCTCTCGAAATCCTCGATAAAGCTGAGCGGACTTCCCATAGCTGTATCGAATAGGAGAAATGTAATAAATTAGCAGGTGTTTCTATACATTTCAATGCTCTTGTTAATTTTATCACAGTGTTTGTCATATCAACTGAACTACAATTAGCAGCGATATTAGTTATTCGCTGGAACTGCTGTGACAATCCAGCCACTGCAGTCGAATGTGCCTCATCATCCAGGTTATTATTGGAATTGGATATGTCGCCTAACTTTGGAGAACTTTTGTTTTCCTCATTTTCGATAGTTTGCAATGACTCTTGTTCATTCTGCCTTTGTACAATGACATCTGTATCCATAAATTCAAAGAAATTCATGGAAACATCATCGCCTAGGGCAACTTTAGCAAAATCTTTATCTTCCAAGGTGAGAGTAGGAGCTGACTTGAATACAATGCCCAATTTTTGTTGAAATGCACAAAGGTGCTTACAAAAGCAGCCACCTTGACCATGTACGCAATCACAAAATGAAATATCTGTATTTGCAGTATAAAAAAGAGTTTTATTAGTACTGGATGAAACTCTGTAGGTGTTTTTAGCAATTTCATTTATGGAAATATTTTTACTTGCTTGAACCATTTGGTTATCCATGAATTAATTTTCTTTTACTGTTTGCATATGTAATAAGGTGCCTTCTGTGATAAGATTCAAATACTGTTACTATTGTGCTCGCATTTAAACACTTAACAATAAATGTATTTTTAAGCTGATAGATTTGTATATCTTACAATCCACTCTGATTTGCTAGCAGAGCTAAACTTTTTTATTCAATCGTCACACCATTTCCTGTATTCCGTCTCTTTAGTAATTAGATCTTCTTGGTTGCAAACTGATTTTATTTGATTTAGAACACTTTCTTCTGACATTATTCTAAAAAATCTTGGAGAAAGATCTCAACCTTATAACCGAATAATATCAAATGATAGCCATGTCCACCTGCCAACAAATAAAAAGGCGCCAAACCGCAAAATACTTGCATGAGTTAGCTGCAATGCAGTATTAGTTTTTTTTTTTTTTTTTGGTGGGGAAGCCGTCTGATTGAACTCCGAGTAGCGCTACAGCCGGAGGCTTATTGTGCTGAATCTTCCTGTTTACTGCACCCATTCCAAAACCCTGGTTACCTGCAGTAGGCGAATTAAATCTGTTCGATTTTTGCCGTATGTGGCTAGATCTAGTTCATCTTCTCCAAATATATTTTGTCTTCTGCGAGTTAGTGCATCGCATCCTGATGTAATATGTTGGGCTGTTTCAGTCTCTGATGCATTAATAGTACATTGTGTATCAAAGGCGGAAAGGAGACGATCCCGACGAGTGTGAAGTTATCGGCCCGAGCGAAGCGAGGGCAGATATCACACAAGTCGAAATCGTTTTCCGACAGTGGTGCACATAGTACTTTTGGAGCAACCCTTTTGGAAACATTTTTAATAAATATTATTTATATTGAATTCAAAAAAATTGAAAAGATACGGAGATTGACTGAAAATCAACACCATTTCAATCTGTCAAATTCAAATTGACAGCATTTCCGCCCGGCTAAGCAGGCGGAAATGTTCTTGTTTGCCCGTTTACAAAATGCGCATGCGTGACAGTCAGAGAACTGCAATTGTCAACGTTTTTCCCGCTTCACATGCTTCAAAAAGTTGCGTTATTGAGCAGGTCGCGCAAAAAGAATGGTCTTAACGCGCGCTGGCGTATATTTCATAAATGCTACTGCGTTAGAGCAGAGCGTTTCGCAGTAAGAAATGAAATATTGGAAATGCACGTACTAAAATTGCATTATTTACTTTGACGCGGCATAAGGCACAGCTGTACCGCAGTAACCAATGTAATTACGCTTCCGGGAGCCGATTGCATTTAGGGCCGCCTGGCTGTCCTAGTAAAGAACGATGATTTTATTCTCAATTTTCTTTTCATTTTGTATGGCATAGTGTATTATTGTAGCGATTTCCGTCCTAAACACCGTGACGTGCTGTCCGAAACTTGTGGATATCTCTACCCTTGGTCTGACTCCGTAGATATCAGCTCCAACCCCCTTGTCGGTCTTGGAGCCGTCGGTGTACCAGATGTGCTCTGCTTTAACAGGAGGACCTTCCTTGCAGTATCCCCTATCCGACATGGCAACCCGGAAGTGCCTGCTGAAAATGAATAAAGGCGTTGTTTTATCTGAGGGCATCTCGAACAAGGAGCTGACCACTAGATCCTCCTCTATTTTCCAGCTCATGGTCCTTTATTGTTTTAAAATTGGTTCCTGGCCTTGCTTCAGTCTGTAGAGTACCGCCTTTTCTTCGCCCTGTTTGTGGATATGTAGTGGCGGCAGGTTTAGCAGCACCACCGCCTCCGGGGCTGCGGTTGAGGCTGTTTTCGTGGCCCTCGTGATGTATACGCAGGCTAACCATTGCACACTTTGAAGCTGCCTGATTGCTAGGGCCTGTGTGACCTTGGTACCCCAAGCAATCGATCCAAAGGTTATCATTGGTCCATTGGTCTTATTACCATCTCTGATTTACGTTATAATTAACCATTTTGCCCTTGAGGCGACTTAATCCAAGTGCAGACTAATGTCTAGCAATATTTATATTTTTTATACAATCGCAGCGCAGTTGCAAAACGGTTTTTGTTGTGACAGAATTTTAAATTAAATGCAACTGGTATTTCAATTTGAAATGTCACAATCAGAATGGAAATCTAGCAAATGATTTCGGATGAGGCAATCATTGTTAGGTATTACATGAAATAGAAAAAAGTTCTATGATCAGAGATTTTTTTGGTTTTATAAGGTGGTATTATCATGCAGATTTCTCAGAAAATATTATCCAATATCAGTGTAAATTTGATCTCATGGAGTTCCGTCAAAAACCATACTCTATGTCAATATTTTCTCTTGATTATATTACAAGAAGTAAATCCAATACATTATTTTTCAATATGATTGCCATTCTTAATTGATTTAGATATCCATAGATATTGATTTTAAATGAAATCGGATCATACCTATCAGATTTATGATCCCCTCGGCAATCCGACTGATAGCCTTCCCTATCGTATAGAAGAAGTATCAAATTACCAACATCAAGTTCTTGTGCTCCTTATCCCCGCAATATCCGTTTTCAATAAAACTGGAGCATAAATTATTAACGATTTGACCCCTTTCTTCCTTTTCACCCCGTATTCGTGAGATAACCATAGGATACAATTTTCAATATCAATCAAGAATCGAGAAATATGTCACCACTTCTCCATGTTGAACAGATTAATTTGGAAATATCAGATTTGTGATTCTTGGCCCCAAAAAAATTTCATGACGTGGTTTTTCATTAAAATCGATCCCTCTTCTGTTATCGTTTCAACACTATTGCGAAAAAGAAAAATCTCTCCATAAAAATTGAAGTTTTTCATAATTAATTTTTATCGAAATAGAAGCAACACAAAGTTTCGAATGAAATGTAGTTATATTGATTTTTTTTTTCTCGAAGACTCGGTTCATCAAAGCAGTAAATGAGAATGTCACAAAGTCTCAAAAGCGCACTGGATTACCGTAATAAAAATGATCTAACTGAAAATTTGCATAATAGAAAACTTTCTTAATTTATATGGGAGAGGTTCGAAGCTGAAGTGCAACTCCATGCCGTTGAAAGTTTTTTTTATGATTAATTCTGACATTCATTCATTTATTACAAATTATTATAAAAAGGTTTAAATTTATTTTTAATTTAAGTATTTCGACTAACTTCAAGGCTCATAGAATTTTTTTTACGAAAAAAAAATTCTTATCTATGTTGGACTTGGTTAATTGTTTCAGTGATTATACATACAACCTCAAACTGCTCATCACAATAATTTACTGAACCTACTCGGATGATTATAATCGAATCCAGAACAATACTATAACCAAAATGAATTTAATTGATGCTCTTGGACTAAATTTATTCTCAATCCTTATCTGTAGAGTTTTTGCTGCGGTTTTTGTTTATCCTAGCATCGCCGACAAAGAAATAATTTTTTGTAGGAATCTTGATTATCTCTGGCGGCGACTATACCATAGAATTTATCATTATAATTCGAAAGACCTACCAATTAGATTCCAAATTGGCATTAAATGAAGACCCAGTAGTTAGACAATAATCTGTGGAAAGATTTTGAAACTATTCCAACCAGGTATTTGAAGTGTCTTGCAAATGGGCGATAAAAACATGGAATTTGGCAAAGACACTTCTCAGGAAAGAATAAGCTATTTAAACCGCAATACCCGTAACTCGCGCCGGTGAGAGCCAGATGACTTTTTGATACGGCAGCTATCAAAAATCAAAATCATGCAACGTTCCGATGATATGAAATTTTGATATAAAATAGCTGCGTTTATCTTCAAAGTATTTTCCTTTTCAACAATAGATTTGTCATGCACCAACTGCATCCAATGATTTGATAATGTTTGCTGAGATATGGCTTCCTGGAGATAGATCCTAGGAAGCCATATTTCCAACAAAATTATCGAACGAAGGAGTAAACGGCCTCATCAGAATGAAAAAACGTCTTCCTTTCCCTCTTGTTGGCTTTTGTTAAGAAATATCACAACCTACAACGTCGAGAAATCCTCTAAGTTTCATACACTTTTGCTCGTCCAATGCACTTTTATTTCGGGACATGTTATTGTTCTACTAGTTATTCCTGGAAAACTGAAAGAGCGAATACAGTAAAGTGTTACAATGGATTTTGTTCCATAGTAAAAGCGTATCTTTAGAATGAAAAATAATGCGAAAAGCTGTTTGTTCCTGACCTATAAGCGAATCGTTTATCTTAGCCCTAATAATAATTCTCGTTTCCAAAAAAAATGCCAACATTTGTCACTGTTTCAAATTCCTCTACATTACTTACCAAACTCTTCGCAAGAAGTCGTCAAAACAGCTCAACTTTGTTGCATGAGCTATGCACAAAATATTCTCCAATATTGGTTTGACAGAAGGACCTAAATTAGCTAAGAGATTGTATTTTAGCTTTGGAAATTTCATCCATTACTCATTATATTGAACTTGAATAAATTTTACCTTTTCAAAATTTGTCTACGTGTAATACATGAAATTCCCGGTTTACACTTCAAAAATTTCAATTATTGTTCTGATAGGTATGAAAATCTGCATCGGGCGATAGAGATCCTACCAAGTTTATACCTGCGCAGTAAAATTAGGTTTTCGCGGGAACACTCTATTTTGCATCTAGGTGTAGGTGATCAAAGGCACAATTCTCGGAGGCATTCGCGAGTAGAGGGTAATTTATTGAACAACTTCGAATCCTCTAAATGGTAGGTCCATGTCATAGATAATTTAATGCATAAAATTGAACATAAAATGTATGTTACGATTAAACTTGAGCAAATTATTAATCAATTATGGTCTTGGAGCTTATTTCCGAGGACTGCCATCTAACAAGAGAAAAAACGCATAAATCACATTCCCATAAAATCGGCCATTCACGCCAGTGCCATCTAGCGAGAAAAAAGCACATAATACAAGAACAGTAGGACTACAATCGATAACTACTGAGGCACTGTGTCAAATTTCGACTACAATAAAGTATAATTCTAGACCGTTTAATCA